AAAGGGAAGAAGAAGAAAACTAGAAACTGAAGTCTCCTCCATCGCCCCAAATCCTTCACGACAATATGCCCAGCCACGCGCAGGCCTCTTAGCCCGCTCCCAGCATCACCACACGAAGGCCACAAGTCACTACGACCAGAGCTTTGTCCATCGAGCCGCTACTTGTCGTCGTCTGTCCACGAGCAGCCCCGTTTCTCGCCGAGAGCCCCACTTTCTGGTGACCAACGACCAGCCATCGTTCGTGAGGGCCACTAAATCGAGGGACAACAGCCGTGTCTCATCTCTGCCGACATCGAGCCCGGACACGCGCGCGCCCTCAACCGTACAACCCGTCTCTCGGTCGTTTTCGTGTGTTATATCCATGAACGGTATTAAGGCTTGAAACCTTTCTTTGTAAGGTGTTTTTATGTGTGGTGTTGTAGCCCTTGTGTTATTTACATGCTAGGGTTAGAAATTCAATTGTTCATGTTGTGATATATATTGTTTCTTTGCGAATTTGAGTGAAGTCATAATCAAAGCATGCCAAAGGTGAAGCCCTCTTTTGTTTATGGGTGTATAGATGATGTACATGGTTATTATGTTGTTGTTTTGGCATTATTAATTGAGTTGGGATATCATATGATAAGAATTTATGCCTTCTATGCGTTCGTCTCTTCGGTTGGATGTCAAAACTAAAGGACATGAGTTATTTTCGTGGAAACCCAGGAGTTTTGAGTGCTTTGATGTGTCCTTGACATGTTAGAGGAAGCCTCAAATCATTTTGATGCTTATTCCATGAGATATGAATTTTTAAAGATGAACGTGCTGCTGGATTTTGCAAATATCATGATAAATTGAGTTCAGGTCATTTTGATGTGAATTTTTTATATGTTGGACCCCTGCTGATGAAATTTATGCTGTAAAAATTTCAGATTAAAACTTGGCCTGTAGCTATGTGTTTAGTTGAATATAAGTTCTGGTCAGAAGTTTGAAAACTCAATATAAAATCGAGTTTGATGAATTTTGATGTGAAATTTTGTGGAAGGTGTTGTTCTGTTATCATGATGGTTGTGTCAAAATTTCATGTAAAGAGGACGTGCTTCTATTCGCGGAGACGTTTGGCAGTTGGAGGCAGCGGAGGATTGAAGTGGAGAATGTTGGCGGACTGGTCCTCCCGCCTTGGACGACCTTTAGGGCGGAGAAGGTGCGGGCTGTCGGAGTGAAGACTGTGTCGGCATTGTCGTGGCCGAAGACATGGAGCCTCTCGAGGTCGGCGGCGGAGATCTGGGATTAATTTGGAAATGCGGCAACGGCCAGAGAAGACAGGGAGACGGAGGCGGAGGTTGACGGAGATCTGGGATTAATTCGGACGTGACTCTATTCGCTGATGAATAAGGCGACGTCGGAGATGTTGATAGCGGCGGGAGACGGCCGGCCGGCGATGGTTGTAAAATTACCCTGTGTGTTTGTGTGTGTGTGTGTGCAGGGTGTGTTGGCATGTGTGAGAGTGACGTGGGACCCGTGAAGTGTGTGCTGGGTGCGTGAAAGAGGATGAGTGGGTGGGTCCCACAGATGGTTTGGTGTTTTTTAAATTTGTTAGGGTGAGGTGGGATAGTTTGATATTAAAATTACCACACTGCCCTTAGTGTGTATAAAATATGGAGTTTTTTTAGTTGTTGGATCATCCAATCTGATGGCTACGATTTATTCTTATTTCTTTCACTGAACATCATTCTCATGTGAGTGCAACCCTATATAGAGAAAGGATCATATGAGAACGGATGTTAGTGAATGAAATAAGAACGAATCTATACCATTAGATCTATTACATTAATGGTTATGACGAAGTCAAAATTTAATAAATATGGTCAAATATAGGATGGCAATCTTGTAAATAGTTGAATATATGGTAGTCAAATATATACCGCTTTCCACTAATTAAGGGTAAATCTGTAATTGATAACTCACAGTGGGTCCCACCAAAACCAAACAACCAAAATCTCTCTCTCTCTCTCTCTCACACACACACACACACACAAATAATCGGCACGCAGAGACGACGCAACCGTGCATCTTCCAATTATCCACTGTGCAGCCGCCGCTCGTTCGCCGCGCCTCCTCCATCTCAGGCCCGCCGTTCTTCCGCCGTATACCTTCACAAACCCGCTGCCGTGCATCTGCCATTCGTCCGCCGCTCAGGCCTCCTCCGTACACATTCCCAAGCCGCTGCCGTGCATCAGACATGATTATATCAATTTCGCCATCTCAGACTTCCTCTGCCTACCTTCACCATCCCGCCGTCGTGCATCCGTCGCCCTCCGTCGTGCATCAGTAGCCGCGAAATATGAAACTCCGGTAAGAAAGCTGACGAGTAGGTTGTTGACAACCAGTCTCGGCGAAGTCCTCCTGCACAACTCCTCAGTGCCGCCCATTCTCGTCGGCGTCGAACCTCTGGTCACGGTGGTCGGCGGCGGCAAGATGACTGGCTGTAGAACACGATGACGGGGTGCTGCACTTTTTTGAATTGGGGGAATTGATTTTGTGAATTTGATAAATAGTAAGGCCTTGATTGCAATTTTAGAAAGTTTAATATATTACAATTTAATCTAGGGGTCCAATTTGTAATTAATCAATCTATAATTAATATGACAATATTTTTATATAATGTTTGGTTGAAAATAAATAATATGGTACATACAAATATAAAAAAAAACATATTATTTATTATAAAAACATGATTGGTATCTAATATCCTTTTTTATTTGATATTTTATATTATATTTTGATTAAAAAAAATTATCCAATATGCAAAAGAAATATATTGTGCAATCTAATTGATATTAAGGTGCAAATTGTCAAACATTATAGTGCAATGTGTCGGTCTGTATTGTGCAGATTGAACCACTCAAACCATTGTCCTATGTCAAATTGAAAATGAACAAAATTAATTGGTTTATTCGGTTCGGTTAATCGAATTTCCTTAAATAATCGAAATATTTTTTTCTATTTACATCAAAGTTATATTTAGTACGTTAATAATTTATTTATTATTTAATATTATTTTAGGTGAAAAAAATCTGAGTTCGGTCGGTTTCGATTTCTATTGTGCAATCTGACAGTGTGTTAAAGTGCAACGTGTTGTTTTGTATTGTGCAACGAGTTGTTTTATAAAGTGCAACATATTGAAATACCATAATACATTGACATGCTTGTGTTTTATTTGGATAAATGATGTGATCGATGTTAAAGTATTATGCATATCCGTTTTTTTTTTAGATTTACATTGTGTGGTGTTTTGGTGGGAGCTGTTGACGTTAATTGTGGATTGTGTTGATAGACCGCAACTGGGTGTTTTATAAAGTGGATCGTGTTTATTTATAAAGTGCATCGTGTTGATATATAAAGTGCACTTAAAAAAAAAATGCCAAAACCCCTAAATCCTTAATTTAAACTTATTGTGGAAATAATTTATTATTTATATTATAAACTATATTTAATATTTTAATTTAATTTTTTGGTTATTTTTAAAAAATAAAGCTACATTGAACCGAAATAACTAAAATTTTAAAGGTAAACACATATAATTGATCCGACATAAAATTCGAACACAAAAAACTAATTTGACCGAGTCGGTTGATATAGTGCAATATGTCAGTTACTAATGTGCAATCCGTATAATACTAAAGTGCAATATGCTGTCAATAATATGCAATCGGTCTAACAATAGTGTGCATTCCAAGTGAGATTTTTTTTTACACAAAAATATATTTAGTATATGTAATATTTCATTTAATACTTTATATTGTTGTTTTATGAAAATAAATAATATATATAGATAAAACATAATTTTTTTTGTATGTTTTGTTGGTTTTGGCTTTTTTATTTTTTATTTTTGTAAATAAAGCAGAACTCAGATTGAAAGATCCTAAATTTTAATATTTTTTAAAAAATGATAATGTGCATTTCCAAAGAAACTAATGTGCAGTTCATCTAACATTATTGTGCACTATATTTATTATGTACACCTCAATTTTTGAAACTTTTAATTAATGTGTATTTAAGTCAACATATGTAATATAAATACTATTTTTTATATATGTCGATCGATTTCATTTATTTTAAAAATAAAGTCGAAACCGAATTGAAATAACTGAAATTTTAAAAATAACAAATGTTAACCAAACCGCACCAAAATTATACTCTGACCATTTCAATTGTTACACTATTACGCTAAAGTGCAATTTTCACATAAATTAATATTAATATTGTTTAATATTATTAGGCATTACCCATTACATGTATTTTTAACAAGCATATCTAAATTATAGCGCAATCAATAATTTTTTGACAAATTATTGTGTAATTAAATGTTTTTTGATAAACTAATGTGCAATTATTGAAAATTTGGTAAATTATAAATATAACCCATTATCTAAATTATAATACATTTTTAATGTGCATTACAAAGAATATTGTGCATTTCATTTATATGTATATTTAGTGTTTTAATATTTTATTTTTAATAGAATATAAAAAAACTCTAAACCAAAATACCCAAAAAACGAAAATTAGAACTCGATAACATAACCGACATAAAAAATGAACTAAATTTTGTATTACGATCGGTTTCGATCATTTTTCTCGATTTTGTGCATTATGTAGACCGAACATTTTTAGTGTGCATATACACTTTCTATATTGTGCAAATCAATTAACATTAATGTGCATTAACATTAATGTGCATTTATTAACTTTTTAATACATTGTAAATCTACCCCATACATTAAATTGTAATTATGTAAAATGTTTGAAATTGCCTTAAGGTCCCTAAAAATCATCCAATTTCCATATCAAATCCCCCAACCCCCAATTGACTTTTCTCAGCCCCCAAATCAAAATTGAATCAACCGAAGGCCTTGCCACAGCCGCCCTCTGCCACATAGATACCCTCTCCGTCATCGTCACTGTCGCAATCCCCAGAGAATTTGGCCGTCGGGTCTAAGTGGCGGGGAATGGTTGAAGTCCGGCGTGCTGCGACTTGCGCGGTAGCAGACCTGCGCGGAGGCGTCCTCGGTGAGTACAGGGTGTGGGCGGTGGTTGTGGGTGATGCTGGGTGGTTCTGGACGGAGTGCCGGTGGGAAGGTCGGCGACGAATGAGGTGGTCGCAGACAAGGGGGCGCGATTTGTGTGTGTATTGGGTATCTGTGGGCAACCGATTGGGCGAACGATGTGGTCGGCAGCGAGTGGTGGTTCGGCTGCCGACGGACAATCGTTTGGACTCTCTGATGTGGCTTCTCGCCGGCGGTCGCTGTTCGCCAGCGCCAGATCGAGATATAGCGACGGGCTGATAGAGACAGAGATATTTGTGCCGATTTGCTTTGTGTGCATGAGAGAGAGAGAGAGAGGCGAATAGAGAGGGCGGAGGAGCAGCGACGGGCGGTGGCGGGCCGATGTCTGTGTGTGGGTCGATTTTGTGTATGTATGTGTGGGTGAGAGAGAGAGAGAGAGAGAGTGGGGGGTGCGGTCAGTGGTTGGGTGGTTGGGTTGGCAGGTTTATTAATGTGGAATGGGGCCACCTTGGTGTGGTGTGTAAAAATACCACAATACCTTTAATGAAGGTATAATTTTAGTTTTTTTTNCCATTTTCAGTCTAATTTTTTTTTTTTTGTGATTCAATAATTACATAATTGACATACTACATAGATTTGGACCATAATCTGAATAATTTGTATTTGTGAATCACCCTTTTCACAATACTAGTACGGGACATGGATGTTAATATAGGTAATCCTCTCGGACTTGGAATAATCTCCCTCTCCATCCTCCTCATCGTCTAGTTGAGGCAAATTGAGAGAAATTTATAGATGACTATTTATGTAGTTTTAGTAGTGTCTTACCATTAATATGGAACAGTACAAATTCTAATTGTTGATCAATAAGAATTTGGTAAAAGGGGGTCACTTATTGTACGCAAGCTTCTTAATTATAGAGACTACTTTTGAAGATAGCCAACTCAAATTTTTGTCAGATGCAGTAAACTTGTTGTAGCAAACAAAACCATGAATTTTTAAGCAGTAAACTATAAGATCTTCAAGCTTCCCGATATTGTAAACCCATGAAAAATCATGAAAAATATTTATCATAAGGAATATTGAGAGAGACTCAAGACAAAATGGTTAAAACAATGCCAATAAAAAAAAAAAAGATAATGGACTCAATCAAACGCATCCAAGATATTGAAACCCAATGTCAATTCTCAAAATAATTCTCTCTGAAAAATATATTTTGGCATGAGTTCAAAATTTAAGGAAGTTCCTGTCATGCATAAATAAGGGAAGTCTTTGTTACCAAAATTAGTTCCTATTATATTTGATCTTATTATATATTTACATGTTGTAGGATATCGTTGATATGGGAAGGGAACTTCACGCGTATAGTACATCACGAAAGAAAAGGAAAAGATTGGATAAGTAAGGCAAGAGAATATGTGGAGAGAGAAGAAGAGTCCTCACATGGAAAGACTTATGGGATTTACCCAAGAGAGACCAAAGAGTGTGGGAGTCCAACGAAATTATATAAAAGCCGATCTTGAAGATTGAAGGAGGCTGCTGAAATAAGGACAATTCTTCATCACCTTCAAGCTTCAAGTTTCTTGCTTACATTTTTATTTGTCTTTTCGGTTCTGTTCTCAATTGATTTGATCGTTGAGGAACTGAGACCATTTCAGTTGTATTGTTTTCGCTTATTCTGATTTGAACATTTTGATCATTTACACTTAGGGAGTAAGTGTGGAAAAATAAGTCCACGGGACGTGGCCGGAGAAGTAATTGATAGGCTAGATCATAGTTGTGGTTAGAATAGAAGGGAGTTCTATTTTGTAAATCCAAACTATGTATTCAATAGTTGTCAATGAAAGAGCTCTGAGGGGAAGTGGGATGCTTCCCTGAAGAGTTTTTAAATCTTTGGTTATTGCTTCCGCAAATCATAGTTTTTATAATTGTTCGTACAACATTGAGCGTACTCGGGATCATTTTATACGTTTCAATTGGCACCAGAGCAGTGTTCCTGTTCTATATACGGGATAAAGATCTTTGGGACTGGGATAGGTCACCATGAGTCATGATGGACTGTCTGTTTCGCGCCCTCCGTTTCTTGATGGTTCGAACTATGGATACTGGAAATCCATGATGGTTATCTTTCTGCGTTCTCTGGGGAAAGGGACCTGGCAAGTGGTGGAATCGGGATGGTCATTACCAGTTATGCCGAAAGTTCCATCTGAGTCTAAGGAAGGTGAGTCCTCGGATGCAAAATCTTCAACCTCGGCTACCCGTGTTCTAGTCGAAAAACCTAGAAGCATTTGGACTGATGATGAAAGGCAAGCTGAAGAAGCAAATTTTCGAGCATTATATGCAATCATGTCGGCTCTGGACCCCACTCGTCACAAGATGATCATTCAGTGCACAACCGCACAAGATGCATGGAGAATTCTGGAAAGACAATTTGAAGGTACAAACGCTGTAAAAACTTCGAAGCTTCAAAGGATCTCGACTGAACTCGATGAGATCCGCATGAGAGATGATGAGACTATAGATATGTACTATGCACGCTTCTGTAATCTTGTAAATCAAAGCGCGATGCTTGGAGAACATGTATCGGAGGCAAGACAGGTACAAAAACTGATGAGAACCTTGCCGGATAGATTTGGAATAAAGATAACAGCCTTGGAAAGTTTTCAGAGGATACAAACCCTAGGCATCGATGATCTTCTTAGTGATCTTCGTACATTTGAGATAAACAATGGGTTTGATTCGATGAAGATAGGCAAAGGAAAAGGATTGGCGCTTAAAGCAAAAGTTCGTACCACGATTGTGGAAGAAGAAGATTCGGATGAAGAATCCTTCGATGCTGATGAGATTATGAAAGCTCTTACCGTACTTACCAAGAACGTGTCAAAACTGAAGAAATTTCAGAAGAAAAGGTTCCAAGGAATCAAGTCTGGTGAAGGTGGTAAGAACTTTATACAGCAATCCGGAGAACGGCGCCCAGGCATGCAGCTGTCAAAATTCCAGAATGCCAATCAAGGTGTTGAAAAGGATCAGTGCAGGGAGTGTAAAGGGTTTGGGCATTTTCAGAAAGACTGCCCAAATTTCAAAAGAAAGAACAAAACTTACAAGGCTACATGGTCCGACTGCAGTGATGAGGAAGAGGAAGGAGCAGAAAAGACTGAGAATTCTCTCTACTCTAACAATTTTGCAAATTGTCCTCTTAATGAATATAAATGTTTTACCTCCTCTGTACATCTCACTGATGTTGAATCTGATGCAGGTTCTCAAACGAATGAACCATGTGATTCTGAACCAGAAGAATTCTCTGATCCTGCTGAAGAGAACCTTGTGCTCCACACGTACGCCATCAAGAAGTGTCTCAAAGCTGCGATAATCATCAAGAAATATCAAGTTCAGACGGAGAAGATGAAGCGATTAGAACAACGATCAGCAGAACGTGAGGAAGAAGTTACTTATCTCAAGAACGAACTTCAAAAAATGAGAGTTCTGACCGTTGATTTGAACGAGAAACTCATTCAGTCTGACGTCCAGGCAGAAAAGCAAGTCAAGGATCTCAATAGTTGTCACGCTAAAATTGCTCTACTTGAACATAGCGACAAACTGAGCAAACAGGTAAGTGGTGAGAAGAACTTTAACATTGAATCCTTGCGTAATGAGCTGTTTGTTTTGCAGAAACTCGTGGGAGAAAGAGAAACCGAGATCTGTGTTTTGAAAGAAGAACTTGGGAGAGTGACTGAGGAAAGTTCATCACTACGGAGTTACTGTTCGACCATTGAGAAGAAACTCAGCAAGAGTGATGAAATCATTAAAATGATTAATAAACCCAAATCGTCGTTTGCTGAAGTTCAAAGGATGAGTCAACAACTGTCTGTTGTGGATCTGGGTAAGAACCTTCGTGACCTGAAATTGAAGGGTAAGATAGGCGAACCAAGTGCATCTCTGAAGAAGTCAGATTTAATCTTTGTAAAAGAAGGTTATAGCATAGATGACAAGAATGGTAAGCCCAACCCTATTAAAAAACTGAGTGCAAATTCTGGTAAGAACTTTGTACCTGTATGTCATTATTGCGGTATTCGTGGTCATATTCGACCTAAATGCTATAGAATGCAAAATGATATTTATAGTGGTCAAGTTGTTGATTGGAGTCCACTTGGAGTGCCGTTGAAAGCACCGAAAATAAAAGTTGATTTGATAAATCATGAACAGAAAAGGATATGGGTTCCCAAAGGCAGTAAGAACATGTGCTTGTCCTCTATTCTTGCCTTGAAATCCACTTCTAATTCTGACTGGTACTTTGATAGTGGATGTTCTCATCACATGACTGGTTGTAAATCAAATTTGGTTAATATCTTGCATGTATCCTCTAGTACTGTGACTTTTGGAGATGGTGCTCAGAATAGAGTTCTTGGGATTGGTTGTTTAAACGTATCTGGTTTGCCTAAGCTTCAAAATGTTCTTCTAGTAGAAAATTTGAAAGCTAATTTGCTAAGTATTAGTCAATTGTGTGATCAAGGTTTGTGTGTTAGTTTTACTAAATCTGAATGCCTTGTCTCTGATCAAGAGAACAATCTAGTTCTTACTGGCAATCGATCTAGGGACAATTGTTACCTAGTAGAACTTGAGTTGAAATACAATAAGACCAGTATTGATACGATTGAACTCTGGCATCAGAAACTTGGTCATATTAATTATCCACACTTACATGAGTTGTCCTCTACAGGTGCAGTTTGTGGCTTACCAAAGCTAAAGAAAGAACAATCACGAGTCTGCGGATCATGTCAAATGGGCAAGCAAAAGAGGGCCTCACACAAGAGACTGACAGAGGTCAGTACGAACAGCATTATGGAACTGATGCACATGGATCTGATGGGGCCAATACAGGTAGAGAGCTACAGTGGTAAGAAGTATATTATGGTCTGTGTAGATGACTTTTCCAGATTTTCATGGGTTGATTTTTTAAGGGACAAATCTGATGCTCTTGAGGCATTTAAAAAACTTGTGCTAAAATTGGAAAATAAAAAAAAAAAAAAACTCGTCTTGCAGCTGTTAGAAGTGATCATGGTAAAGAATTTGAAAATCGTGGATTTGAGTCTTTTTGTGATTCTAGAGGAATATTTCATAAATTTTTGTCTCCTATTACTCCTCAGCAGAATGGGGTGGTTGAACGTAAGAATAGAACCTTGCAGGAAATGGCCAGGGTTATGTTGGTATCTCAAGGGATGTCTTTGAAATGGTGGGCTGAAGCAATTAATACGGCATGTTATATAACTAACCGTTTATATTGCAGGAGAGGTACTGGAACCACCTTCTACGAACTCTAGAAAGGTAAGGCTCCCAGTGTGAAGTATTTTCATGTTTTTGGTTGTCGTTGTTACATCTACAACGACAGGGAGCATTTGGGTAAGTTTGAACCCAAAAGTGACATCGGTCAATTTCTCGGGTACTCCTCAAATAGTCGTGCCTATCGTGTGTATAATTTGCGTACTGAGGTAGTACTGGAATCAATCAATGTTGTTTTTGATGATTTTTCTGATGCCGTTCTTATTCCTGATGTGTCAAGAGTTGACGTTAGTAGTGGAAAGAAAGATGAAGATGATGAACCTGATAATGTCTTGAATGAAATTAAAACTGAAAAGGAGGATGATGTTCTTACTCGTTCTCTCAATGAATATAATGTTCCAGTATCCTCAGGAAGTCCTACTGAGCTTAGGCGTGACCCACCTGCCAAAATTCAGAAGGACCATCCTAAGGATCAAATCATAGGTGA